GTTTGTTCCCCGTTTCCGGGGGGGGGGGGGTCTTCTGGCAAATATATATGAAATCTAACCTTTTCACCAGAAAACCCTATTGTATATCATTGCAGTCTGAGCCCACCCTCCTTCTACTGTTATATCACAAAATCAAATATTTGATTTTACTGAGTAACACATTTATAATGTTACCATAAAAAATTTCAAGCAATCTGTCGCACATTTTATCTAATGAGGAGATGCAGTGGATATGCTTGCATAAATTGACAGTTCATGGTGGCAAAAGGCATTTTTAAAGACTTTCTTTTTACAGCATCTAAGTATTGCCTGCAAAATTAAAGTGCATTTGGTAAAGGCCAAACCACTTTAAACATAAAATACGATAGAGTCATCAGGACCTAGAAAGCCATTCTTTTGATAACATTTGTCATACCAGATTACAGAGGTGAGGTCTGATGTTTGTTAAATATAGAGTGATGATCTCAGAGTCCTGAGGGACAAGTTACGTCAGAGACCAAAATGAGTACATGAAGAGCAAATGAAAAGACAACTCAGCAAATGTTACCTGAACAAATTTGAGTCTGAAAGCGATTGAAAATAAATAAATAAATAAATAAAATATAATAATAAAAAGCTGATTCAATAAAAACACTGAAGTCATGCAAAGCAGATTTCATCCCAGATGTAGTGTGTTTCTTGGTCAAAGCATTAACACATTAATTAGTTTTGCTAATAGATTATATCTGATACTGTGTGATATGTCATGACCACACTGTATAGGAGCCACGTGTGAGTGGTAAGCTGTCGTCTTGTTGAAGCAGCAGCAGCTGTAGCAGTTACACTTATAGGCCTGCTGCTGTCTAATTGATGAATCATTTTCCTTTTAATTTAACCTCCTAAGGCTGGTAATGCCAGTCTCTTTCTCACCACATACAAACTCTGACTGTGGTATTATACCCTTTGGGAAAAAAAACAGCTGCTCTTTGCTCTAGAACTATGTACAGATCCTGTCACAGCCTTGTAACCTATGAAGCTTTTTGCTTCTTTGCAATACTGATGTGGATTGAAATATCTTCAGTCTGTCATATTTGGGGGTCCCCTTTGAGACTATGGATAGCAGTAAGAGGGAGAAAAGACTCACATCCACACACTGAGAGAAAAATGAACTCAGTCACTCAGTCAATTCATTCAAAATGCCAAAGTGTAATTGATTGTGCATCTCTTGCCCTGCAGTGCTGCTCCCCATCTGATCAATATTATCATTACCCTAATTATGCTGTGGGTTAGCTCTAGGCCTCCCATGAACTGATGGTCCCTCTTAAGAGTGTGATATGCTGGCACTTGAAAGTGAGGAGAAAGAGAGAGAGAGAGAGAGGAGGAAGAGAAAGGGGAGTCTGCTCTCACCTGCTGAGAGCAGCTGGAGGAGCTTGGCAGTGTGAGAGTGCACAATCCGGCAGGGCCCGCTGTGACATGCCGATGGAAATTTTTACAACTGCTGTCGGGCTCATTTGTATATTTTATTAAGCAGTTGCAGATGCTGTGCTGCTGAACTGCTGCGTGCTCAGCTCAGTCGGGCGGCACTTTTACCACAGTGCTTTATGGTCAGATTATCTGTAATATCAAGGTTTTAATGATGACATGGAATGACTCTTGCTTCAATTATGGAATTGCAATGTGCTGACAAGAACAGAAGACAGCGCTACATGGCTAAATACACTATACAGCAGATCTGTGGTCTTTGCTTTAAGCGGCAGTTATTGTGTCACTTTTGACACTATGGGGCTGCTTTCTTCTTCTTTTATTTCCAACACAACAACACAGACAAATCACACCCCCAAGATGAAATACTGTGATGTCAGTGAAGCGATGAAAAGAACATATCTGAACATGCCCAAAACAACACCTAACCTACATATTCTATGCCATTAAAGTAGTATAGCTTCATTTTTAATACATTTTATTTTGTTTTAATATTCTCAAACCCAGTAGCTATAAATGTAAAAGAAACCCCTTTGCTCTTTTTTCAACCTGAAGCTAGTATTTCTCCTTAACTTTAACTTGTAATATTATTAGTAGTAGTTTGTAGTATTAGTATCATTAATACTATATATTACCGTTCAGAACAATAAAAATGTTTGGTCCTTTGGCCCCTTAAGGGTGAATGATTTGCAGTTCTACTGTTGCTAATGAAAACCTCAGTGACCTCAAAGAGTCATAGTTCTGCGCTTGCTGAGAGAGATGATGATAGAGTAAGAGAAAGAGGGACAGAGAAAGAAAGTCTGTCAGTGGATGTATAGAATAGCTTCTTTTTTCCACTGTTTTTCTTGATCTTCAAGTTTTAACCCTCATTTGTCCAGTACAGTAAAAGCCACAAGCGCCTCTTTCCTTATATATATGTGTATATAATATGTATATAGAAATCTATTTGTTGTTGCTGCTTTTTTGTTTGTTAGTTTGTTGCTTAATTAACAATTCAAGTCTCAACAAGAAAAAAGTTCTGTTGTTCAGTTTCATCACATCTTATGCCAGTTTTTTTTTCTTGTCTTCTTCTTGCACTGTGCCATCTGTTGCTTCTTAAGTCCCCCGGTGAAGTGCTTCCTCCTCTTATGCATCTTCTTTTTTCTGCCTTAACCTATATCTTCATAAGTAAATGCTGATATGTCTTCAAAAATTCCTTACGTGTTAATTTTTTAAAACATATTTTGCTTTCAAAGAAAAAAGGTTTAACTCCTCCAAGATCTCTTCATGTGTCCTCTAAAACCTGAAAAAGAAGAAGAAGAAGAAGAAGAAGAAGACAAAGTCAGATCACTGTTCAGTCCACTGTCAACCATTTCTATAAACTTTGGATAGTTCAGTATGGCTCCCTTATATCAGTGTAATGGCCTGGAGCAAGTCAACTCACACTGTCAATCATGATAATTACACCTACTGTGCCACATATGAAATCCACTCTTGTGGTTTCTACTTACTGAAACACTGGACAACCTTAAAGGGTTTAACTTTACATTCACAGAAAATATATGTCAAAAAGCTAACAAAACTATAAGCTCTTAAAGTCTCAAGGAACACAAAGTCTGGTCATCAAAATGGCAGGTAAAAATTGGGGCAGCTGTGGCCAAATGGGAAGGCTGGTGGTTTGATTCCTGCTCTCCCAAGTCCACATGTCGAAGTGCCCTTGGGCAAGACACTGAACCCCAAGTTGATCTCAATGGCCAGAGCAGTGCCTTGCAGGGACAACCATCAGTGTGTGTGTGTGTGAGTTGGTGCCGCAGATGGCTGCCTTGGTTATGTAGTGGAGACAAGTTCCTTGTGTGTGTAACATACTTGGCCAATAAAAGTGATTGTCATTGTCATTAAAATCAACTTACATTCTTTAAACCAAAGTTAAACCTTCAGCTTCAGCAGAAGCAGTGTGAAGGATCTAAATCTTGAACCAGTGACGGTGCTTTGACAGTTTGCAGGCTCACCCGTGCTGCTGCAATGAATACTGAAGGTAGGCTGTGTCAGTAAGGGCGGCTTGCATCCTTCGGTCTTTTTAGCTGGACTTTCAACCTCTTCATCCCTATCTGAAAGCCATTCATAGCTTGAATAGCTGCCTGTGCACTAGCAGGGTTGTCAAAGCTCACAAAACCTGTGAAAAAGAACAAGTTCATTAAACCCATTAAATGAATTTATAAGACTTGTTAGCTGAGAATTCAAGTCACAGAAGATATTTACTGCAAATTACTCAAACAGTGGATAAAGGTGAGACTTATAAATGTGTAATTTCACTGCTTGGTGATCAAGGCCTGTCTACCTCCTGCACAAGCCTCAATGGTGTGGTTGAGGAGGCAGGCAGCACCTTTGCACTGTCTATCACATGCTCAGTGCCTGTGGCATCATATGAAAAAGTTGTTTTTCAAACAGAAAACAGGCTTGAAAATGCGTTTTACAGAGTTTAATTTGTCCACAGTGTAAATGAACGTGTAAGACAGCCACTTCTGTTGTACAACTTCTCATCAAGTTAATAGCAGACAATGATGGGGCAAGTTTAGGAGTATTACTGTCAAAAGACATCACTGTCCTGATGTTGTTTCCTGTTTGACATTTATGCCTGGAAGACATCTAATATCATGCTTCTTTATGAACCCTCAGGGAGACATGTAAAGGAGTAAGACATATCCAGTATCAAGTATTCTGAAGGTAACACAGGATGCAACTGATGACTAAAACAGGAATCACACATTCCACTTTAATAATATTTTAAACAGTAGCAAACTGGAATTCACTGATATTTGGTAGTAGTGAGTTTCTTCAAAAATTCTGTTGAATTAGAGTCTCTTAAGCAGGTGCTTTCTGGTTCAGACCATTACATCACCACTACTCTGGTAATCACAGCCATGACCAGGTCATCCTATAGGTGTTTGCAGTTTTTATCTTAACAATGTCTTCTTCAGTATAGCTTTGTGAAAACCCCCAAACCAAAAATGAACAAGAACAAGTCAATGCACAGAACAGTTGGACCAAAACAAGAGCTGAGTTTGCTGCATACAAAAAAAAACCCCTCAATGCACGTTCCGAAGACACCTCCCTCCTCAATCCTATGCTGAACTTCCTGTGTCCATTACATGTAAAAATAAAGCCTTGAGAGTTCAGTGACCAGAAACTGCAGTGGAGTGTGTCTCCACTTGATGCGCTCCCCTGTGTCTGTGGTGTCATTAGGAGTGGTCGATGACCCGTGAAAAACAGCAGGAGCCTCTCCACGTCCACAGCCACCTGGGAGAGTTGTCTGCCCGGACTGCTTGGCTCTGGTTTGGCCCATTAAGGCAAAGGCTGGGCAGTGAGGAGGAGGGCTAAATGAAAGTGTGAACAAAGTACAGAAGCAGGGAAAGGAGGTGACCTCCTAACCCAGCATCAGGTTAACACATTCAGGCTGGGGAGTGGAGATGAGATGCAAGCTTAGAGCTCTAAGCCCTCTGCTCAGTCCTGTCACACATTACAAGTGTGCTTTCTCTCTCTTTTGCTGTTTCCTTGTTTTTTGCACACCATTAATCTGAGTTTATCCCCTCTTTCTCCTTTCCAGATTAATTACACCAGTATGCTCCTTCCTTCCCCAGGCCTAACATTATGTTGCAGATGCATAGTGTATAAGTCAATACTGCAAACTGTTCTTCTTTCATGAATTTATATGTTATCAAGTGTCCTCAGGGAAACAGGACCAACGATCAATTTTGCCCAGGTTACTACAGTTCCCTGAAGTGAAAACAAATGCTGATCTATAATTGTCCTTTGCTCCCCCCACAAACCACCCCTGCCTGCCTCCTTGGAATTTTTATATGTCTGTAGGCCTGAGGTTTGTGAATCAGCGTCAGCAGTGAGGGTTGTGACAGATATTGGGGTTAGGCAACAGCAACATGGATGCTGATACAGCACCTCGAGGTTTCCAGGTCACACAGCTGCCCAACAGAAACAAGGACATGGACCCTGGTCGACTCCAACATGACTGTTTTAGCTGTAACGCACTCAGCATATTTTTTCCATGATGCTGATGTCGGAACACAATAGTCATCAAGATGTAAATTCAAGTAAGTCAATCAGAGGTCAATCCTCTGTGTCTGTGTGAGGTCAGATGTCCTCACATTCTACAGCACATATTTGAAAAAATATGTGACGCCAATTTATTTATAAGCACATTTAAAAACTGCAAATTTGACCCAAAGTGCTGTATAGAAATAAAATAAATAGAAAAATTAAAATCTACTGCTTAGTGAACAGTACGAAAATAATAAATATGTTTTGTTTCAGTCTGAGTCTTCACACCTAAGCTGTGAGTTTTTACAGAACACCCCCAAATGCCACAAATATTTTGAAAAATCTATAAGAGATCACACTACACAAAATGTTTTGTTTTGTGCCAGAGCACATTGCTCTGTACGTAACACCTGTACATTATGCATGTACTTGCAATTTATTTTTTTCTATTATTCCATATTTATGAGTGACGAAACAAACAAACAAGCAAACAAACAAAAAAAAACCCCTAATATAATCACACCTTGAAAAGACAAAAATAATCATATCTTATTCTAAGAAGAAGTAAGTAAAATGAACATAAGAGGTAAAATTCCTATATTCCTATATACTGGTATTACTGGGAGAGTTCGAAGAAGTACTCAGATCCTTTACTGAAGCAAAAATAGCAATACAACAGTGCAAAGATACTCTTGTTACTAAAGCAAAAGTGCAATAGTATTAACATCAAACAATACTTAAAGTACCAAAAGTAAAAATACTTATTATGCAGAATGACACATTTTTGTATATCATAATATATTATGATGGATATTATATTATGATCATTATATATTATTATTAGCATTATAATTAGATACATTATTATGTGCATCACATAATAATGTGGGAGCTAGTTTTAACTAGTTTATATGCCTTTAACTTGAATTACTGCTGGGTAATTCAATCATAAATCAATGAGGTCTTATAATTATTCTGTATTTTTTGTGTTAAGTAACTAAAGTTTTAGTGGAGTAAAAAGTACAATAGTTGCCTTTAAAATGTAATGAAGTCAAAGTATGAAATAACAGAAAATGAAAATAAAGTACAGATATCTCAAAATTCCACTTAAGTACAGTACTTGAATAAATGTGCTTAGTTACTTTCCACCACTGATTACTAGTTGACTTGAATGGCAGTGAGTAACTCACCGAAGCACTTGCTCTGGTTGGTTGCTCGGTCCATGAAGACCTTAGAAGAGATGACAGTGCCAAAGGGCAGAAACATCTGCATGAGTTCATTGTCTCCAAACTCCTGTGGCAGGTGGTAGATGAATAGGTTACAGCCCTCTGGACCTGAATACACACACAGAAAAAGAAAGGTTGGGGAATGAGGGATTGAGAGAGAATGTGAATTCATCAATGTAGTCTCCCATATGACAAAATCTAAATAAGTGGAAAAGGATTTCCAGGATGTTTATGACATTATAAGTGATCAAACATTCCTGTTCTTAAACACACAAGAGCAAATTGATTTGCTGATACTATATGGACACTGAGATACTGCTAGTTAAATTTAACCAACTTTTCAGATCAAATGTGAAATGGCAGGTCTAAATCAAGATGACAGATCACATTCTTATATGTAAATATATGTAGCATGATTCAGGTATTGCAAAAGAAATCAATACTTAAAACAGAATTATATATGAATTCATCCCATTCTTCTTATTTGCCCACAGTTCATGGGGGACAAGGTTGCTCAGGGCATAAGTTTGCATTTTGCTCACAGTACTCTAGCTTCTCTGGCAGCTGTTTTTTGCTCCAATTTTATTGGAAAAATATTGCATGGGCTTATTTTCTTTCAAGCTTTTAAATCTACTTGGTTACACCTCCTGTCTGACATATTTATATCAAAAACTGAAAATTTGTGACATCGCCAATATAGAAAAACTGCTGTTCCTAATTCTTTGACTTATAGTTTGGTTGATTACACAATATATTACATTTTAACTATGCAGGTGTGAGAGGACATTATCTCACTGCATTAGGAGGATATTATTAATATAATTTTATGAACATAATTTTCTTTCTTCTATCCATATTTTCATTAATTTGGTCCATCTGGGCTGCACTGCCATGATTCTTCTATATAAACATTACTGATAAAACTTTACTGATATAAAAAGCAAGGGTTGCAGATAATTTATAACCTTTCATTAACTGAGATGCACAGTATAATCTAATTGTACTAACACTGATCTATCTTCCTCAGGCTTTATATATTTATTACCTAAAATGGGATGTGAAGTGCATTCAGTGTAACTGTACTCTCAGCCATTCCACTTTATTTATCTATTACAGAGACTGGGATGTGTATAGTGTTAAAAGTAATATTCTTCTCTCACCCTCACATTCACAAAATGAGGTGTGTACAGTGTAAAAGCAATATTGGTTTCTCATGCTCATCTTCTTTATATATCCATTACAGAGGATGAGATGTGTGAAGTGTAAAAGTAATAATGTTCCCTCACCCTCACCTTCTCTCTGCTGCTGCTGCTGGATGACCTGGGGTGGTTGGGGCAGTGTCTGGCCAATGGGAGTCAGTGTGGTGGTTGGGTAGATCGCTGCACAGACGGAGAGAAGAGAGGAGGGGAGCCCACAGAGAATGGTGTTGAGGATGCTTAAAGTTGATCACAGAAGCATAATATGTGTAATCAAAGGCTCTTTAACGTTATCTTCTAAGCTACTGTCCTACATTGTTGGAATACATACGGCCTCGCACTCATACAGTAATTGTCTCCTTGCTGATACTCATTAAGCATTTACAGCAGATTGTAAAACATTGAAATACAGCATAGTAAACAAAGGATTGCTGGCTCTTACCTGTGTATTGCTGTACTCCGGTGAAGGCTTGCTGGAGGGTATCAGCTGCAGTGGGACTCTGGGTAGAGTAGGGTGGCAGGCCATTGGTGTACACGGTCTCCACAGCAGGGTGTCCATTGGGCTGATGAGGGATGCCAGTGAATCCATTTACGATAGGTGTGACAATGCTGGGCACAGCAGAGGTGGTGATGTTGGCTGGTGGAGAACTGAGGCCTACTGGGAAAAAGGATTACTGTTACTGGATCATGAGGACTCAATCTACATACTGTAGCTTTACAAACTCCTGATGCTACAAAACAGTTAATGTATTAAAACATAAACAAGTGTACTCATAGACATTCTATCCTGCTGAGAGTAAACACTTGCATGCACCCTTGTTTAAACAGATATATACAGACACACACAAACACAAAAAGCTTATGACCAGAGGCTACACTGCATCTACTCTCTAATGCAAGGACACGGGTGCGACGTGAGTCTGTCACATATCCGCCATTTGTCGTGACACATCCTGCACGATAGCTGGGAAGTCAACCTGTGAAAAATGAGCCTGTCTGTAGTGTTTGTGCAGTACCCTGCTGGCTCCTACGGCTCAAGATGATGAAACCACTGTGTAACTTCTGAGGGGGAAAAAAAAAGTAAAAGATCTGGACTAGATAGAAAGAGATTGCATAGGAAGATTTGCTTGAATGAGCAGGTAGCAGAAACACAAAGACGCTTCTTACTTTTTATACATCATAAAAAAAATAACAACAGTTGACAGCTTGACAAATGGTTGGGTCATAACATATATGGTACAAGCCTGAAAGGCAGCTGCAGGGAGGTTCATGAGTGGAATTGAAATTGGATGCTCCTTGTCCTCTCTCATTCAATGCATTTTAAAAGGACCCTCCTTTGGAAAGTGTTTCCAATTATGCCAGAAACGTCAAAGTACCCATTTTGAGCAGAATCTCACTGTGTGATGGTCTCTCTAAAAGAGCCGCTCCGTGGCAAAGCATTCAAGCTTGTTGAAGTACAGCTCCCCTGAGGACCACCTCTCAATCTGGAAACCTTCACCCTGATTGGACAGAAAGCTCAGGTTGTCACGGAAACCATCCACCATGCCATATACCCACAATCTGTTGCCTGAGTAAAGACCCCCCTGTGACAAGTGGTCCAGATAGGGTAAACAATCACTTCCCATATACACATAACCTGCACTGAGATTTATGCTAATGCACTGTAAATATGCTGTACAGTACATACTGAAATCTCCACCACTGTTTAATATCATCTACATATTCATATTAGATTACTTTCCATTTTCTCTACCTTTGATTTGTCCTGTCCTCTCCTCTATTCTCCCTTTCTTTCTTCCTCTCCCTGCCTCAGCATTTACTATAAGTCATGAGGAGGCTGACAGTAAGGCATGCAACTGTGGTGACCAAGGGAATCGCCCAGGCCCACTGAGAGCTGTTGTGTCTTTTGCACAGATTTTTTTTTTAAAGCCTCCCCACGATTGCTTGTTTCCTGTGGAGCTGTGATGAATTAGACTGCAGCTTCAGCCCATTCTCCTACTGAGACCCAGGAGACTACTGCTCCTATTCTGAGGACTAGAGACAGCTAGTCTGCTTGGGCCACACGCACTGTACTGTACCACCAGATAATGCACCCTCTCCATCATCAGGCAAATTCATTTTCCAAGGCATAGCAGTACTGTTGGAGCTAGTTTCTATGTATGTGTGGTAGTTGCAGTGATAGTAGGAGTAGCAGCGATAGGAGAAGATGGTAGTGTGGCTCCCTCTTCCTTGCAATTATTTAAGTTCAATGGTCAGCAGTTAGACATGATGTGTGTGGTAAAGGAGAACACATGACACAAGTAATAGATTGGGGCCACCAAGTCTGGTCAGGTTATCATGTTGAAAATGTCACAGCAGGAAGTAAGCATAAGAATTGTAAAGATTACACTGATATTGTAGTGAGGCACAGCTCTGAAACATTTAAAACACAACAACTAAGCTGAATGGTAAAAAAAAACTGCTGCTGTAGCTGGCTCATACAAGCACTGGGTCATAAAATGCAGTTATAAGGAAAAGACAATAAGCAACACCACGTCCAATAAAACAATGATTACACGAGGAAGCCATTTATGTAACCTACAGTAGTCATCATCTTTACCCTCACTGTTACAATGTCTCAATATCCAACATGAGCAGGCCCTGAAAATGTTTTCAGTTGAAAGTATTTCCTACTATCCTGAACTAGAAAATAACAAGACATTTTCATTTTATACCTCAGTGGATATATATAGTTCTTGCATTGCGGGAAATTGTATTCATGGCCTGTTTACGATGCACACACAAGAGTGCAGATATACATGTGGCTGTCAGCGTGAGCTGCATGTATTGGTCTGTAATAATGACGTTGTTCCCTGCTCAGGAAGTGCTACGGGACAGCAAATTGCATATTGTATGCAACAAGCTCTTAACTATCACTTCTCCAATCTTATTATTGCAGGAAAGAAGCCTGCAATGCAAAACATTATGTACAGTATATGTGTATGTCACATATATTTTTATTATGGAAGCAAAATTACATTCATATTCTTACAGGCTGCTTCTAAGAGGAGAAAACTGTTGATTTGTTCCTTGCAATGATTGCTCCATGAAATAAATCTTCACATGTGACAGAAGTATTTATTATGCTAATTATACATTCAAATCAACGAGGTCTGGTATACCCATGCTACAGAGTGCAGTCATTACCAGCACAAGGGCTGTCTTTCGCTGGAGCAAGTAATAAGCACTCAAAACAGATGCTTTCATCTAACTGATTTAAAATGTGATGCATTTAGACTCAGAGAAAATGTCTGTCTGGCTCTTAAAGTGTGAATAATAAATATGAATAAGGCAAGAGCAACTTTTTCAGAGGCCAGTTGGCATACAAAGAAAAACTGCTACTTTAAATACTGTCCCTCTGATACCAATACATTTGTGGAACAAATAAAATGTGACTTAAAATGAATGGAATTCCACATTAATGTGTTTCATTATTGCTCATTATATGATATATTTTTCATCCAGTACATTTACTTGAACATCAAAATGCAATTTAAAACATGATGAGGCATTGTCTGTTCTCTGTTAGATAATGGGTACTTCTTACCTCACTCACTGTTAATCCATTCTTAATAAATAATATCAAGGATGTTTTGTCATTTTTCAGTTGTTACTTGTTTAGTCAGGATTACTTAATTTTATAAATAATTATTAAAGATTTCAGGCAAATTTTCACAAACTTTAAGTTTTTGAACACTTTTAGCCATTATAGCTAATATCATTGATGCGCACTTAATTTGTACTCTGTGATTTTCTGCTTGGCTAGAGGAACATTGTTGCCCTAATGAATCTGTTAAATGTTCCTACTATTTGTCATTTCGGCTGATGACCTTCATAATGTTCATGAGAATGTGCTTGTATGCTGATGATGCAAATACGTCTCTAGCTTCACGGTGAAGTGGAAGCTAGTCTGAACAAATTAATAAATAAATGCCATCCATTCATTATAAGCCACTTATTCAGGGGTGGGTCGCAAGGGCAGCAGATTCAGTAGGGCAGTCCAGATGTCCCTCTCTCCAGTGACATTTTCCTGCTCCTCCTAAAACAACCCCAGGCTTTCACAGGCTAGATGAGATATACAGTATAATCCCTCCAACATATTCTGGGTCTCAGAGCCTCCTACCAGGTGGACATGCCTGGAAAACAATGAAAGTCACCCAGAAGGCAATCTAATCAGATGCCAAAAGCACCTCAACTGGCTCCTTTCAATGGGAAGAAGCATCTGGAGCTTCTTCCAGATGTCAGAACTCTGTGCCCTAGCTCTAAGTCGGAGTTGAGGAAACTCACTTCTATTCACATTCTCAGTCTTGACCATAGGTGAGAGTTGAGCTTTGCCTTCTGGCACAGCTCCCTCTTCACCACAGCGGTCAGG